ATGAGGAGAGCTTATAAAAAATAGATCCAAATTTTTTTTATTATTCACGTGATTTATATGGTTTAATTTATATTAGGTAAACAGCTGTTGAGGATTGTTTTTAAAGGTGGTTAACAGATCTGTTTGTTTGCTTTCACCTTTCATTATATTTAATAATTCTGTTCAGGATAATGTAAATTTTCAGAAAATTGTTTTCTTAGTGCCTGCTGGAATGTTACATAATTTTTTTTAAGCCATCATTGCCAGAATTCCTATATTCATCCCAGAGCTGGTGAAGACAAAGATAAAACCAAACTACAGCTTCTACGATAGCTATTACAACAAACTGTATAAACTTATGCATCAATGAATAATAACTCAACAAGTAATGCTCAATCAAGGAGTCGATTTACTTTGGGAGGAAATGGACATATTAATGGATTCCTCTGCTTTGAACTGCTTGAAGAACTTGCCTGGACTATGTATCACTTGTATGCATTGTGAACTATCTGTTGGTGCAGCGAATTGTGGTAGTGCTGGGGTATCTTTGCTGATGGTATCATCGGTGGTACAATTTTTCCAAAAGGAACCGTCATTTGGCTTGGTGTCATGGCATTTTGCATCCTCCTCCCTTCTGCTTGTGATGGTCTAAAATTTGGGGGCCAACTGAGGTGAGGCTAAGAACCTCACCCCCTCACTGGTACCAAGGCCAAATTTGGGGGCCAACAGAGGTGAGGCAAAGAACCTCCTCCCCCACTGGCACCAAGACCAAATTTGGGGGCCAAGGGAGGTGAGGCAAAGAACCTCACCCCCCACTGGCACCAAGGCCAAATTTGGGGGCCAACAGAGGTGAGGCAAAGAACCTCCCCCCCACCACTGGTGCAAAGGCCTATCCACTAGTATGGCTGTATGCTGGGCAGGTAGTCAGTGACAGGTATGATCCAATTGCAATGGTACCAACCTAGACAGGAGGCTGACGCCTTGAGGTCAGCTCATTCGATGACGGGTAAGGACCATATGTAGTATTGGACAACCTAAGACAGGCACGGTCCCTAAGCCACATGCTTGGTGTTTAATTAAACAGAAGGGGGGAGATGTTGAGAGCCACAGCCTAGTCGGAATGGCCCCTGGCATTTTGCCAGAAGTAATGGTTGGGAGGCAAGCCATTAAGATGATGCTGGATTGATTCAATTGTATATTAGACCTTTACTCTCTGGTATAGGGCGGCTCTTGCTGCCTCGGGCGCCCACTACTTTGGAGTTCCCGTTGAGTTCTCGCAGGATTCGGAGAGTGGGTGCGTGCGCAGCCCAGTGGGGGGAATTCCGGTTGGTGTGTGGTGTCTTCCTGAAGGAGCTGTGTGGGTGGCGTTCGGGAGTTCCCAGGGAGCGTGTGTGGAGTGTGCTGGTGGAGTTCGGAAATAAAGTTTGTTCCTGCTTGAGTGGCTCATGATTTGTGCCCAGCCAGACTGCGGCAGAAATCCCCACTGCTAAGGGGAGGGTATTATGTAGTCAGGATTTGGGGAGATGTACAAGTCAGCTTCTATCACTATGATGAAAATCTGATGCAATTCAATTATCAGAAGAAAAATTTATTTAGCTTATGGTTCTGGGGTCTATTGCTTTGGGCCTCTGGAGAGGACATTAGATGGCAATGGCAAGAAGGACGTGGTAGAGCAAGCTGCTAACAGCATGACCCAGGAAACAGAAAAACTGGGAGACTGGGGTTCTACAGTCCCCATCCAGAGTACCCGAGGACCTCCCTAGTCCCCAGCTCTCATGGTTTCACCACTTGCCAATAGTGTGTTCTTGGGGACCAAGTCTTTAACACATGGACTTTTGGAAGACACTTGTCCAAACCACAGCAGGTGATTAGGTCTTGGGGGTGGGGACCTCATGAATGGGATTACTGCCCTTATGAAAGTACTGGCAAAATCTCTCACCTCTTCTAGTAGGTGAAGTTAGATTGGGAAGGCCATTCTCTGTATGGAAGTGGGCCCTCATCGGACGGTGGATCTGCTGATGCCTGGACTTCCCTACCTCCAGACCTGAGAGAAGTAAAGTCCTGTGTTTAGGACCCACTCATTTCATCTTGCTACAGCGACCCGAACAGACCAAGACGGGGAAGTGGCTTTGGAACTGGACAGTGAGTAGAGACTGAAAGAGTTTGGTCCATTCATGGAAGTGTAGTGTACAAGCTACACTTCCATGAATGGACCATCAAGGGTGATTCCTGTGAGGGTTCAGAAAGGAAGAGGAGAGGTTTAGAGTAAGTTTCAATTTTTTGAGAGAACACTTAGGTACTCATAAAAAATATATTGGAGAGTCTTCAACAGAAAAGAGGAACATGTTATTGGACAGTGGGAGAGAGGCCATCCTTACTATACAAGTGGCAAAGAACTCAACTGAATCATGTTTGTGTTCTAGTGCTTTGTGGAAGATAGAATTTGTGAGCAATGAAATTGGGTATTTGGCTAAGGAAAATTTTAAGCAAAGTGTCGGAGCTATGGTTTGACTTCACTTCCTGCAGTAAAATATGAGAAGAGAGAAATGACTTTCAAGATGGAGTTAATAAAAAGGGAATGAATGTTAAATTCAGAAAATTCTCAGTCTACCTGTACTGAAATAAATAAGATGGTCTGTTTAGGGGAGAACAAGGGTAAAGCTGAGCAATCATTTGATAAAGAGGTTACTCTGAGTTGCCCATCTCTGTGGAGGCCAGGTGCTCTTCATTAAGACAGGCTGATTAGTTGGCCATCTAAACAGAGCCCAGGACTTACTGCACGAGAAAAGGGAAGAGTAACCCGAAAGACATTTCAGAAATCAGGGCTGCCTGTACCTTCCAAACCTAGATGCTACAAAACTGGAGACATTAATGCCCAGAGATGCCTCATATTGAGGGCTGTGCTCCTCATAAGCCACAGCTGTGCTCCTGGGCTGCCCCATGTGCAGCTCCATTAGGCTACAGCATGGTGTGTGCTGCCCCAGCGGAAAGTACTGACAAAAATCTATTAGGGGTGAGGCTTTCCAAAGCTGGGCAGCTGGCAAATCTTCAGAGGCAGGGCTGCTGATATTAAGGGTCCAAAATACAGGACCCTGGGGGGAAGGTGGCTCAGTAGTGAGCACTTGTCTGGCCTGCGTGAGGCCCTGGGTTCCATCCCCGGTACTGCAAAAAAACCAAAAACGATCAAACAACCCTCCATGTCAGTGGGCTTGAGGGGCAAGGTATCAAATCAGAGGAAATAATTCTTGGGATTTAAGATTTTGTACTTGCTTGAGAATGATTACACTTTTCCTTTTTTTTTTTCCAGAATGGGAATGTCTATCCCATGCCTGCCCACCATTATATTTTGGATGTGCGTAACATATATGATTTCACAAGTTCACAACTGGAAAGCAGTTTACCTCAGAATTAATTGTAACTTCTCACACCCAGATCTGATTTACATAAGAATTACCTAATACTTTGTGTTTAGTTTTTAAAATTGATGCTGAAACAAGCTAAAACTTTGGGGTGAGGCTATTGGAATGGAATCGATGTTGTTTTATGAAAGGAGGACATGTATTTGGGATGCCAGGACCTGCACTATGGTTGAATGTTTACATCCCCTCCAAATTCATATGTTGAAATTCTCCCTCCCAAGGAGGTATTATTAGGAGGTTGATTCTCAGGGAGGTGATCAGGTCCTGGAGGCAGAGCACTAATGAATGAGATTGGTTCCCTTAAAAAAGAGTTACAAGGGGGCTGGGGATGTGGCTTAAGCGGTAGTGCGCTCGCCTGGCATGCGCAGGGCGCTGGGTTCGATCCTCAGCACCACATAAAATAAATTAAAGATGTTGTGTCCGCCGAGAACTAAAAAAAATAAAATAAAAATATTAAAAAAAAAAGAGTTACGAGGGACTCTGTGTTCCTTCTTCCGAGTGAGGCTAGTGAGGTGGCTGTCTAGGAGGAAGCGGGACCTCACCTGATCCGAATGTTCCAGTGCCTTGATCTCACACTTCCCACCCTCCACGTTTGTGAGAAATAACTCTGTTGTTTATAAGCTGCATCATTCATGGTATGTTGTCAAAGCAGCCCAAATGGACTGAGACAACAGTCAGAAGAAACGTACTAGGCATCGAAGACACATCTGCACTCCCAAGTTCATTGCAGCATTATTTACTGTAAACAAGACATTTAGACCGCCCAAGTGCATGCACTCAGATGAATGGAAAGGGAGATGTGGCATGCATATGTGTCTGTGCACGCTGTACCATACAATATTATCTAGGATTTTAAAAGGATATTTTTTAACTCAGTGTTCCTAAAGGAAGAGAACCAACAGGAGGTATGATCATAAAAAGCAGATTTATTAGATTGGCTTACACAACTAGAAGCTGGATAGTTCACAATGGCCATCTGCAGGCTGGAGAGCTAGAGGAACCAGTAGCTGCGCAATCTAAAGCCTCACAACAAAGGTTTCAACAGTGCTACCCCAGTCCAAGACCGAAGGCTTCTGGAGAATCAGTGGCAGAGTCCACTTTGGAAGAGTGAAGGAGCAAGAGTCTGATATCCTCAGATGATCGCAGCAGCAATCAAGAACCTATAAGAACATAAGAAGAACAGAGCTTGCATCTGCTGCTGCTTCCATATTCTTCCAACCTTTATTCCATCCAAGTTTCCAGCCTATTGGATGATGCTGCCCATCTGAAGGAGGGTCTCCTCTTTAGTTTGCTATGCCACATGCCAATCATTCTTAGACACACCCTCATTTGACACACACAGAAGCCTCTTAATCTTCCACATCTCTTAATCCAATCAAGTTGACAATTCATATCAACTGTTGCAGATATCCTGTCATTTGCAACAATATGGATAAACTAGAGGACATTATGCCAAGTGAATTGAGTTAAACACAAACACTGCATGGTCTCACATATACATGGAATCTGAAAAGTCAAAATCATAGAGGCCAAGAGTACAATGTTAGTTTCCAGGGACTAGAGATTTGTGGAAATGGGGAGATGTTCATCAAAGAGCACACATGTTCAATTATGCAGGAGGAATCAGTTCAGGAGATCTAAAGTACAACACAGTTTCTATAGTTATGATGCCATCTTGTTTTTTTTTTGTTTTGTTTTGTTTTTTGTTTGTTTTTTAAATTTGCTAAGAAAATAGACTTTAAATTGTTTTCACTGCACTAAAAAGAAGACCTACATGAGGTGACAGGTGTATTAACTACCTTGAATAAATAATTTCACAAGGTATACATATGTCAAAACATCACACTGTACACAGTAACTATATGCAATTTTTATTTGTCAACTATATCTCCATAAATCAGGAGATGGGAAATATTGTCGTAGTCATCTTTGGAAACATACAGTAATTCACTACAGTAACAAATGGTACTAAATTAAAAGGAAAGAATGAAAATTACATTACTTCCAAAACGTATGCCAGACTCTTGAAATTGTCTTCAAAATCACACTTAACACATCTTTGAATATATTCTTCTCAGCTTCTGCCCTTATATTTCTAATTTTTTCTTCATATCTCATCATTGTTAATTTTATTTGTTCCTCCTTTTCTTCCTCTAGCTTAGTAGCATATTCCTGTTCTATTAGTCGGATTTCATTATCTCGTTCTTCAGCATAAATTTTCTTCAGAATCTCTCCACGCTTTTGCAGCTTTTCCTCTATGTTCTCATATATACGGTGAGAAAAGTAAGCCCTTCCATTGTTCTCCACCATCTTATCTATCAGCTCCACCAGCATCTGCACTTGAACTTCCTTCTCGACCTTGTCTGCTTTGTTGCTAATGGCAAAATAGCGGTTCCCGCACTCCTTGATGATGCTTCTTAGGTTCACATCCGCACTTTCCAGGAAGCTATCAAGGCTACAGCCCTCCAACTCTTCCTTGCGAGTGAACAAGACTATCATGTTCTTTGTGACTTCCGGCCCAAAGACTGTCTTGATCAATGCAACAGTGTTCTGCTCTTCCTTTGTGTAGCGGCCCAGCTGCATGACCATGATGATGGCGTGAGGTCCTGGGCAGGAGTAAAGGACACACTGACTGATCTCTTCACACGTGGTCTTCAGACTCTGCTTGGTGTCAAAGAGCCCTGGAGTATCAACAACAAGAAGCTGTCCTCCCTTCCATGCTCGGGTTTCTTTTTGACAGGTCTTGGTAACAGCTTGGGCAGAAATCTGAGATTTAAACTTATCTTCCCCAAGGATGGTGTTTGCTGAGGCACTTTTCCCACTTCCAGTTCTCCCGACCAGAACAATTCTCAGAGTGTCATTTTGGTGGTCAGCCATCTTCCTGGAGAGAGGCCCTGGAGCTTGGGCACACACAGACCTGAAAGAGTGAAAGGAGAGAAAAACGCCAGTTTAGCTCTATGGGGACGATTCCCCATCCCCTTTTCTTCTCTTCTTCCCCCACTGAAATTTGGAAATATTCTATCATCCTTATTTATCCCAGTAGATAAAAAGATGAAATGGTCCATTTACTGTGGAAGAAATAAAAGAAAAATAAAGAGTCCCCCACAAGAGAGTACCTGGTCCGGATGATTTCATGGGGAGGCCTGTGAAACGGACAAATCTGATCATCTCAATGCTACTTAAACTGCTCCTGATTATATAAAAAGAAGGGTGCCCCCCCACCAACCCACATGCCAACATAGGGAGTACTGCTCATGTGCCCCTGCCCTGATGCTGTCCTGCATACAGGTATGTGCACCTGTATCCCTATCCTGCCACTTGCCTCAGTGCCAAAGCCAAGACTGAGGCCAAGCTCCTGGGCTCCAATTTCTACTGCCACTGCCACCAGTTACAGACAAAGAAGCTATGGGGAAGCTATGCTGTGCTGTCCAACTAGAACCAAAGCCAAAGTAGTTATCACACTGACAGCTAAAATACATCTTCAGGTCGATGCTTGTTACTACGAAAGCCATCCTTTAAAAATAATAGAAACAACTGATATACCAGATATGCAAATATGACCCTACAGACAGAAGAAATGGAGAAAAGCAAAGTAACATGATTCCTTCCCAGGAATACAATGATTCTTCAGCCAGAGACCCCAAAGAATGATATTGATGAAATGCCTGATAAAGAATTTGAAAGAGCTGGGTTCGCTTGCGCACGTCAGTAATCCCAGCTGCTCAAGAGACTGAGACTAGAGAATTGCAAGTTCAAAGCCAGCCTCAGCAGTGGTGAGGTGCTAAGCAACTCATTGAGATCCAGTCTCTAAATAAAATACAAAATAGGGCTAGGGATGTGGCTCAGTGGTCCAGCACTCCTGAGTTCAATCCCTGGTACCAAAAAAAAAAAAAAAAAAAAGAATGATTATAATGAAATTCAATGAGATACAGGAGAATACATACAGTCAGTTCAGTAAATTTAAGGAATTTAGCAAAGAGATGGGAATCTTGAAAAAGAACCAAGCAGAAATATTGGAAATGAAGAGCTCAGCAAGTTGCAAAATACAGCTGAAAGCCTCAGCAACACACTACATCAATCAGGAGAATTTATGTAATCCCAACTACTCAGGAGTCTGAGGCAGGAGGATCACAAGTTCAAGACCAGCTCTGACAATTTAATGAGACATGTCTCAAAAGAAATCATAAATAAAAAATGTCTAAACTTGAAATCAGGTATTTTGAAATAGCCCAACCAGACAAAAAAGAAAGAAAAATCATAAATAATGAATACATCCTCCAAACCTTGGGACACCATTAAGCAAATAGTCACATGTTGAGAGTACCTAAATGGGAAGAAAAGGAGAAAGGCATAGAAAATCTATTCAATGAAATAATAGTTGTAACTTTCCCTCATCTTGTGAAAGATATGGACATCCATGTACCAAAGACCCACAGGACTCCAAATAGACATGACCAGAAAAGATTCTCAATATGGCACATAGTCATAGTTAACCTGTCAAAAAGTACAAGACAAAGAAAGAATTCTAAAAGCTGCAAGAGGAAACAGCAAGTTCACCTTACAGGCCCAGAGGGAAATAAAATGACATATTCCAACTTCTCAAAGAAAATCACTGTCAACCAAAAACACTATACCCAGAAAATCTAGGTTTGGGAAATGAAGGAGAAACAAAGACTTTTCAAGACAAGCAAAACTGAAGGAATTCATCACCACGAGTGCCGCAGTCTGGCTGGGCACAATCAGGAGCCACTTGTCAAAAGAAA